GGTGATTGATGTTGTTGAAGGTTTGTTTATTTATAACCATCTTATAGAGAATGCGTTTAATTTTCCATTAAAATATTTTGCTATTCAGGATCAGCAATGGAAGCACTTTCGGGTATGTTAAACTTTTGTAGGAATAGACCGAGTGAATTCAAGACTGTAGAGGATGCGATCTTATGGAGGTAATAAGCTTGATTAAAGTGTTCAAACAAACTTCAAAAATCTTTGTATAAAATTTTTTTACACTCTTATCACCTGGTTTAGCAAAAAATCAGGTGCAATTCGTAATATTGAATCGGCCAGAATTTCCGTACCTTGCCTATTAACCGAACAAGAAACCTGTACGAATATTAAAAAATATACTTGGAGAACTGATTTGGCTGCGACGCAACCCCATTGGAGAGGTTTGTTCTTATATAGATTACATGATGTTTAAATGAGCATTGAAAGTTTAGTTGCTTTTTTACAGGGTGGTTTTCTGGATTATCCGAAAAATTTCTATCCTCCAATGCTGCAAAATTACTTATCCTTGCTGGTATTTTAAACCTAAATTTTATTAATAAATTTTTAAATAAATAATAATTATTTTGTAAATAATTTAGGCACCGATCGATTAGACAAACCACTAACAATTGCACAAATGCAAGGTATTGATTTATTCGTACTGTCGTGTTATATATATTTATTTCAAATTTGCAAAACATATTTTTCTAATGTAGGAAAATATCAGCTCATGGTGTTACCTGAGGCAGGACATATGGTACAAGAGGATATGCCAGAAAGAACTGCCTCGGCTTTAGTAGACTTCTGGAAAAGGAATGAAAAATTAGTATTACCAGTAAAGAAACCTCTTGTAATTGATAAATAAGTCATAGGTTTGTAGCATTAGAAATGATGAATTTTTTTTAATGCAAAATTTTAAGTTTGAGGTATTATATTAGGCAATTTCTATTTGTACACTAATGTATGAAACACGGGTACATTAATAATTCAATTTTGCTTATGAAACCACTTTTCTAGTTCTAACAAAAAAAAATCTACATAAAATTTTAGTATAAACCACCTCTAAACCTAACCTATCTTAACCTCGATTTAATTTTTTTTCTCTGAATTTTGAATAAATTTTTTTTATAAATTATACCCGTTGGCAGTGTTGTACATGAATAGATTAGTAGCGCAACCAGAATTCAGCAGATCGGCCCGAATTTAGGCCGGAATTGATCGATTTTTTCTAAATTCTCTCAAACTTTTACTAATAAACTGGCAGCCTATATATTAAGTAAAATTGCTCAGCTGGGATCTTTGCTATCAAAATGACCCTCCGAGGCTATGTTGATTTTGTGAATAAAAATTAAATTTGCCAGCTATCAA